AAAATACCAATTTGAGTAATATTCACGGCAGCTACGTTTTTCCTTAAAGGGCCAGATGGAGTATTTTTAGGCTTTGTGGTTTCACAGCCTCTGCTGAGAGCCATAGACATCCCAGGAAGAGGGATGTGACGCTGTCCAAACAAGTTTATAAACATAGGCAGCCAGGTCTAGATGACTGGAGAGTTTTATGTTCCATTTGGTTTTCTTATCATATCTAACTTGCTTTGAGGACAAATAATCTTAATTATAGATTGCTTTTTAAATGCAGGTAAAATTGACCTACAGTTACATGCACAGATCTTAGTAAATTTCAGTGAGTTTTGGAGTATGGACACACTTGTGAAATCACTCCCCCAGTTTAAGTCAGAATGTCTCTGTCTTCCTAGAAGGCTCCCATCAGTGCCCTCGAACACCTTCCTGGTTTATGTCACAATAGGCTGTTTGTCCTGTTTTTACTCTTTTAATAAATGGAATCATTTCGGGTCCAGCTTGTTTGTCTTGCATAATGTGTTTGAGGATTTTATTGGTTGTGTCTGTATGTTACCCTGTTTTTATTGGTGAGTGGTGTCCCCTACAGAACTGACCAAGCTGTGATCGGTCCTTTGTTTCTGGTCGTTGGTGGCGTCCACTCTCAGAGCTCAGAGTGTTGTGTCACTTCATGCTCAGGGAGGAACCCTAAAGGCCTCTGGGCGCACCTGTCCCTGCCTCTGCCCTCACTGAACACGTACGTGTCCTTTGACCCCACAGGCCAATGTTGGTAACTTTTGCTTTCACCACTGCTATGTATTTTCTTAAAACACGAAGGAAGAAATTGTCCTTGACCTTCACTCCTTCCTGAAGACGCTGGTTTCTGTTTTCCTTTCCCTGCAGCCTCAATAACTCTGGGGTTTATTGTAATTCAGATCTTTGTGGGTTCTTTTAGTCTCCGTTTTTCTTTTCTTTTTTTTTTTAGATTTTATTTACTTATTTGACAGGGAAAGATCACAAGTAGGCAGAGAGACAGGCAGAGAGAGAGGGAAGCAGGCTCCCTGCTGAGCAGAGAGCCCGCCGTGGGGCTCGATCCCAGGACCCTGGGGTCTTGACCTGAGCCGAAGGCAGAGGCTTTAACCCACTGAGCCACCCAGGCGCCCCTAGTCTCTGTTTTTCTAAAAATGTTTTTATTTCACCTTTGTTTCTGAGGGATGTTTTTGCTGCAAATAGCATTCTGGTTTGACGGGTGTTTTATTTCCACAGTTCAGCGATGTGCTCCGCTACCTTCTGGTTTCAGGGATTTCTGATGAGAAGCATGTGATTCAGATGATTGTTCCCTATGTGATCATGTCAGTTTTCTCTGATTACAAGATTGCCTCCTGATCTTTGGTTTTCAGTGGTTTGATTATAATGTGCCTACGCATGGTTTTCTTCATATTAATTTTATACCCTGCAGCCACAGTGATTTTTTTTTAAAGATTTTATTTATTTATTTGACAGACAGAGATCACAAGCAGGCAGAGAGGCAGGCAGAGAGAGAGGAGGAAGCAGGCTTCCTGCTGAGCAGAGAGCCTGATGCGGGGCTCCATCCCAGGACCCTGAGATCATGACCTGAGCCGAAGGCAGAGGCTTAACCCACTGAGCCACCCAGGCGTCCCCAGCCACGGTGATCTTAAAACATAAACGAGCTGCTTGTGTTGCCTGTTCCCATAAAACTGTGTTCTGGGGAACCGCTTGCTCTCACTTCAGGTGTCCTCCTTCACTGAGCTCACTCTCTGCTCTCGGATTGTACCTCCTGTTCGTCGTTCTGTTCCCAATGCCTGGCATGTGGGAGGACTCAGTAAATATTTTCAAATAAGTGATCATGGAGGATAAAAAATGTTGCATGAACCGGAGTTGTGTCTTGTGAACGAAGTAACAGTCATCGATGCCCCAGCAGGGCACATGGAAGCAGTCTGTATCCCTTAGGGAGGGTGATGCCCTGTCCTCGGGTCACCATACATAACTCTTGGTCTTAGCGGGAGACAGACAGATTGGGCATTCCAGGGGCACATATGTGTTTGATGCCACCAGTGGACTCTTCATCTTAGCACTGGAGAAGCATGCAAAATAGGGGGTCCTGTTTTTGTGTTCCTTGATGCGGGGTAGTACAGGCTAGGTGTTCCATATTACATGATCGTTCACATTTGATTAAACTTCCAGTTGGAAAAAAACATAGAATATGTTGATGGTGTGTGATCGGAGGGTCATGCGTGAGCTGTGATGGTCTCCAGTAGATGTTGTTTGAAGTACCCATCCTCCGCCCGACCAAGTGTCCTGTGCCTTGGACGTGCCAACCAGTGTGTTAGGGAGCCTGGGCGACAGTCAGTGAAGCAGCAGGTCACAGTTCTCCTGGCTGAGGCGGCTGTGCCCAGGGTTCTTCAGGTGTAACAGCCACTGTATCCCTTTGCAGTGAGTATCGATCTTTTATGACTTTGGGATTTGTCTTCTGGTTTAAATTTTCCCATTTGCGGTATCTCTCCAGTTTCATTGCCAGAGATCGCGAATGACTCAACTCATTAACTGAAGTAAGGAGAAGTTGAGGGATGACACTGGCTTTTCTTGGATGCTCTCTGTTGAAAACGCGTTCGCTTTTCACACAGCTTTTCCAGCCGTTGTTAGGTGAGCGAGAGGGCACTCTGCTGCTGTCTGCCTCCCATCGCTCCGTGTCGCGGCGGGTCTCCGCATTACCACACCTTCACTGGAGATGTTGATTCAGAACATTCCTTCTTTATGTGCCCTGCTGCGTGCCCCGTCTTTGTTTTGTTTTTGTGCAGACTTAATTTTGAGGAATAAAAAAGTGTCACAGTAGCTAAGGCTCCGCGTGTGCACGGAATGTAAACACAAGGGACCCTCCGCAAGGACCTAACTTTTTGCCGTTGCTTGAGCTCCGGGCACGCGTGGCACCTGCTCTGTAGTTGGGTCAGGCGTCGGCGGAGCACAGCTGTCCCACTCTTGCCCACGCTGCGCTCTGCTGCTTCAGAGGCAGAGCTAAAAACTGGGGGCCCAGCCATGGAGACTGGCCCACAAGACCGAAATACTTACTATCTTGTGCTTTAACAAAAGCTTGCCTCCGTCTGCTCTGGAGTAAACACGCCTTCGAAGAATAACATCAAAGGAAACCTAAGTGGTAAGGGTCTGGCTGACTTTCGCTGTACCCAGCCTCGCCCTTTCTGGTGTGTAAGTACTTGGCTTTGATCCAGTTAAATTACCCTGAGCTGCCAGGCTGCCTGCTGTGCTGTCATTTCATCAAAACAGAAAGGAGGTTTTTCACTGTCAAGTTTTTTCTGATGTCAAGAAAACTACAAATGATTTGAAATTGGATTGGGAGGGAGTCGATCTTAGGGTGTTTGCTGGCTCTTGAGAAAATCTGGGATCAACTAGACTCTGGTTGACCAAACCCTTCATCTTGGTCCCTTCGACTGGCTGTGGCCAAAACAGACAGACTCACCCACAAAAGAACAACTTTCTCTTGAGCGCTGATGAGAAGGGGCTCTGTAGTAACTTTGTTGGAGAGACCCTGGTTCCAAGAGGGAAGTTAGCCCAAAGGGATGAGCTCCAGACCCCTGGTTAAAGGGCATTGTTGGTGAGGTAGGCTGGGGTTCTCAGTACTCCCGACAAGCCAGCGCACTGAGAGTGCTTCATAACCTGTCCTGGGAGTGACTCACGACAAGAACCTTCTAGGAAGGGCAGTTATGTGGCTGCTTGCTCGCGTTCTTGTTTTTTTCTTTTAAGATTTTTTATTTATTTGTTTGACCGACACACAGAGAGAGCGCACAAGCAGGGGGAGCAGCAGGCAGGGGAAGAGGGAGAAGCAGGCTCCCCGCTGAGCAGGGAGCCCGATGTGGGACCCTGAGATCATGACCTGAGCCGAAGGCAGATACCCAACTGTCTGAGCCACCCAGGTGCCCTGCTCATGTTCTTAGAATGATAACTTTGTAGATTTTATAAACATGATACAGAATTTTGTAAGAAGTTCAAACAATACAGAAAAGAGAGAAGAACATGATTAAAAAAAAAAAAAAAAAGCCATGGTATAGAAATGGATGAATGTTATACAGACAAGAAAATGTGTTAACCTCTGGTCCCTAGTTTTTCCCAGAAACAGCCAGACATGCGGCTTCCAAAGACTTCCCTCATAGTCTGAAATAGAAGCATTTTGTTTCACTTTTCTCTGAACCTGGCATATGGGAAAAACAAGGGGACGCTAATGGAATTGCTGTCCGCTCAGCACCACAGGCCTACCCATGCCCTTAAAAAGGGAGGCCTTTGGCATTGTCTGGCTTTGGTGTGGACAGTGCCTGCGTCCCTGGTGGGGCTGATGGGGACTCTGCACTCTCTCTCCACTGGTGTCCTGACCTCGTTGCTGCGGGTGTGCAATGTTCTATTCGGCACACTTGTTACCACAGCTCCCAGTGCTCTTAGGTCTTGTCCTTGAGTTTCTGTGGCTTCAGCCCCTGCCCACAGATCCCTTAACCCCTGGTTTTCATTCTCCATTGCTACCTTTCCATTTATGTCTTCGCTGGCTGGGTGTTGCAACAGATTGTTTTTTCTAGAAGCTCCTTGTTCCATACATTCTCGTGTCTGTGTGAATGTTCGTCTGTGCCTGTGTGTGGGGACTTGGCCTGAGCGTAACGTTCTTGGGTCGGAAGTGTTGAGACGCTGCCCTGCCACCCGTCCGTGCTGCTCAGGCAGCCAGGGAGTCGGCCGCTGGGCACAAGCGATGCTCTGCACTTCGTTTCTTAATCTCTGGGTTTGTGGAGAAATGATTTTTTTAAAAGATTTTATTTACTTATTCATGAGAGACAGAGAGAGAGGCAGAGGGAGAAGCAGGCTCCCTGGAGCTGGAAGCCTGATGCGGGACCCTGAGCCCGAGGGCAGACGTTTAACCCACTGAGCCACCCAGGCGCCTCAGATGCGATTTTTTATTAAGCAAGGATTAGCCTTTAAGAGACTTCGGATATAGTTACTGGCATTCCATTGAAACTAAGAAAATTGATTCTGAATTAATTCTGTTGGGTTTTCTTAGGATGGTTCTGTCTGAGGCTAGGACATTTTTGATGTTCAGTGCCGTGACATCTGAAATCCGGTGTGCGCACTGACTGTTAAGTCATACTGGTGATTCGTAATTTAAAATGTGACCGTTTCACAGGGGGAAACTTTGTCTCCAGTCACATGAAGTAGCTGACGCCGTTAGCTGCTCACAGACGGGCGCATCTCAGCGGGGCGGCTGGGCTCCAGGAAGACGGCAGTAAAGCGACTATCCCGATAGAGTGAGTCACGTCCGTGTTTGGTTTCCCAGTGCGCGTAGAGCTGATGCCCGAGCTGATGCCCGAGCGACACTGTTGTCTGGTAAAGGCGCAATAGCGTTTCGTGGTTTTTTTGTTTTTTGTTTTTTTTTTTAAGTAAAACAAACCGTAAGAGACTCTCAATCTCACAAAACAGACTGAGGGTTGCCTGGGGGAGGGGGAGGGAGAGGGTGGCTGGGTGACAGACACTGGGGAGGGTGTGTGCTGTGGAGTGTGTAAGCCTGACAGTCACAGACCTGCACCCCTGCGGCAAATAATACATGGTATGTTAATAAAAGTAATTTTTTGAAAAGTAAATACCTCTAAAAAAATGCCAACCGTCATCTGAGCTGCTGAGTCAGAACCACTGATCGCAGAACGGCATGACCACCATACTAACAATGAAGACATTTGAAATACTGCAGGAGTCACCAGACTGTGACACAAAGACATAAAGTGAGCAAATGCTGTGGGAAGAGACTAGCTTGGCACATCGTTGCCAGGAGTCTTCAGTTTGCTGAGATAAAAGCATTACCTCGAGGAGGCAGCATGGAGAGGTATGGCTGTAGGTGCTTGTTTTTATGGAGCAGACATAGAAGTATTAGTTCTTGGTGTCTCTGTGGATGGGGTCTGGAAGCCCACTATTCAGGGCATTGGGTAACAGAATACAGACAAAGAAATTACTGAGCGTGGGAGTTTCACGGTGCCGCGGTCCTTCTGTCGTGGACTCGCCGGAGGACATACTTAGTCCTGGACGGTTGGCCCCATCAGTAACAGTGCCTGCTTCTGACTGAGGCTGTCTTGGTTCTGCTGGCTCTGTGCTAGCCTGGTCCTGGAGGGCCGCAGAAGAAGAGGGAGACTCAGAGCACTGCGGGGCCTTGCCCCAGGTCACACAGCTGGACACTTTCCCGCTGGGCTTAGAGTCCTCACTTCCTGATTGTAAAACCCGCGACCTCTCTCTCTTGGGTGGCCCTGAGACTTGTTTTATTATCTGCCCTCAGCAACACCATCATGCCCTGGGCTTAGGGGCCGGGTGGTTTACCTGGTGTCTCTAGGGTTAGGGTGATTCCCTTGGGTTTGGGTTCAGATCCTTCCATCACCTCTCTGTGCGTCCATCTCTGCACCTGCGATGGACTGCCATCGAACCTGCCTGGTGAGGGGTGGGGAAGCCTGGGCCCCATGGACTGACACACTCGAGGAACCAAGTCGGCTGGTCCCGGTGGGCCGTGGCATGGAGCAGCCTGGCCCGTGGGGGCTCCCTACTCCTTTCCATGGTGCACACTAACCTTTACGTTCTGTGTTGTCATTGGGCATGGAGAGAGAAGTGGGACCCTGCCTCCCATAGCCATGTGGAGGGATTGCTCCCGTGTCTCCTGCCTTTGTTTGTTTGTTTCTTTCTTTTTATTTATTTATTTGAAGATTTTATTTATTTATTTGACAGAGAGAGAGAGCACAAGTAGGCAGAGAGGCAGGCGGGGGGGGGGGGGGGGGGGAGAGGAAGCAGGCCCCCTGCTGAGCAGAGGGCCCGACTCCACGGGGGGGTGGGGCTCGATCCCAGGACCCTGAGACCATGACCTGAGCCAAAGGCAGAGGCTCATCCCTCTGAGCCACCCAGGTGCCCCTCTTTCTTTCTTTTTTAAAGATTTTATTTGTCAGAGAGAAAGCGCACAAGTTGGGGAGGAGCAGAGGGGAAGCAGGCTTCCTGCTGAGCAAGGAGCCTGATGCGGGGACTCCATCCCAGGACCCTGGGATCTGACCCCAAGCTAAAGGCAGACGCCTCTCCGACTAAGCCACTCAGCCACCCCTTCCTGCCATCATTTCTTCTGCCACAGACCCAGATGACACCAGGGTTTTTTATCTGAGGTTTCCCTCCTCCTTCACTTCCTTCCCTGTTCTGTTGATGTGTGTCCTCAGATGGGTGTTTTGTTTTAGAAATGAGGAGCGTGGCTTGTCCCAGACTCTAACATTTGTGTATTCTTCTGACCTTGCACTTGCTTGATAATAGAATCTTTTCATCTTAGAATATGAAGCTTTTTTGTGCTGGGAAGCTCTCAGGCTGGACCTGGACTCTGGGGGCATCACTCGTGCCGGCCAGCACTTTTCAGCACGCACACTTGTGTTTTCTTGCCGATCTAGTTTTGTTCTCTCTTGTTTTTAATGGACTTTCCCCCCAGTCTGATGTGTCCCTTACCTTTCACATTCCTGCCGGACCAGTTTTCTCCCATTTTCTGTTTTCTCTGTGCTGGTTCTCTCTCTTTAAGGTACTTCCCAGGTTGTGACTTCTCTCCGCTCTGTGGCTTCACCCCCTCGAGCTGTGCTGCCCTCTCGTCGCCTTCCTGCTCCTGCGGCAATTGCCGACCCTGCTCTTTGCTCCCTCTCCTTCGCAGTTTACTTTTGTCCACTGTTTCCTTTAATTTTATAAAAGCCTTCAACCTCAGAACTTAAAAGCTTGTCATCGGGGGTGCCTGGGTGGCTCAGTGGGTGAAGCGTCTGCCTTCAGCTTAGGTCATGATCTCAGGGTCTTGGGATCGAGTCTGGCATCAGGCTCCCTGTTAAGTGGGGAGCCTGCTTCTCCCTCTCCCTCTGCTGCTCCCCCTGCTTGTGATCTCTCTCTCTCTCTGACAAATAAAATCTTAAAAAACAAAAAACAAAAAAACCTTGCCATTTTTTCTCTGGGGTCATCAACTCTTTCTTTGTACTTTTTTTTCTACTTGATAGACCTTTTTTTTTTTTTTTTTAACACCTTCAGGGTTACAGAAAAGTTGGACAGAACTTACAGAGAATTCTTGCGTATTTCTTTCCCTTCCCCCAACCCCACAGTTTTCCGTTTGCCCCCATAGTTTGTATCAGAGTGGTACATTGTTAAAACTGATGATCCTGTATTGACACATTTTTTTAAAAAGATTTTACTTATTTATTAGAGAGAGAAAGAGAGCATGAGCAGCGGAGCGGCAGAGGCAGAGGGAGAAGCAGACCCCCATCTGAGCAGGGAGCCCGATGGGGAACTTGGTCCCAGGACCCTGAGATCATGACCTGAGGCTGAGGTGAAGGCAGACGCCCCACCGACTGAGCCCCCCAGGCGCCCCTGTATTGATCCATTATTTTTTTTTAAGGTTTTATTTATTTATTTGACAGAGAGAGATCACAAGTAGGCAGAGAGACAGGCAGAGAGAGAGGAGGAAGCAGGCTCCCTGCGGAGCAGAGAGCCTGATGTGGGGCTTGATCCCAGGACCCTGAGATCACAACCCAAGCCGAAGGCAGAGGCTTAACCACTGAGCCACCCAGGTGCCTGTATTGATCCATTATTAACCAAAGTCTGTAGTTGACCTCAGTGGTCACTCGTCATGGTGCACATTCTGTGGGATTTGACAAACATAATCACATTTTTCTGCCACTGTAGCGCTGCACAGGGTGGTTTCATCCCCTGAAGATCTCTGTGCTCCTCCTCTTAATCCCTCCCTCCTCCAGCCCCCCCCCCCCCCCCCCCCAGCAACCTCCACTCCCTTTCCTGTCCCTGGAGTTTCGCCTTTTCCAGAATGTCATAGAGATGGAATCACACAGGGTGTAGCCTCTTCACGGCTCCATAGCTGGTTTCTGTCCAGCACTGAGGACTGCCCGCTGTCTGCGTGGACGCAACTTGTGCGGTCACTCACTGAAGGACGTCTGAGCTGCTTCTGAGTTCCGGTGATGAGGAGTACAGTGACTTATTTTTAAGTAGGAGTAGCCTAGAGTCACAGAGTAGATCATTAAATCGGCGTTGAATTTAGAAACTAAGCCCATCCCCTCGTTTTTCACATGGTTGACCTCGGGGCAGTGTCTGCAAGTGTGTGACGGAGCTGGGCGCTGCCTCAGCGTGGTGCTCCCTTCACAGCACGGACAGAATGCGGAGATTGGAAGCCCTTCTTTTAGGGGCACCACTGTATTATTCCTGGAAAGGTGGTTTATTTATTATTTTTTGTTAACTTTAAGGAGCAGGAAAGAGACTTTAGCTAGTCCCAACTTGTGGCTGCACGTGTTTCTGGAGAAGCGGACACACCTTTAGTGTGGTTGACGCCTGAACTTGAAATCAGCGCTGGCTCTGGGCCTGCTTCTGTGACTAATTATTTGTGTATTTTGGTCAATCATTTTGCATGTCTGGGCTGCCCTTTGATCTACTGGGAGGTGAAGGAATTGGGCTAAGACCCCATCTAAGGGCTCTTCCCCACTGCTTTCTTGCTTCTGGCTTTGCTAGATCTCGCCTTTGTTGCTGGTAACAGTATGCTCTGTTATCTCTAGTTAAAGCTTCCTTTACTGGTCTAAACCTACCAAGTAACTTGAATTAGTCTAGTAATGAGCTTTTAATTGCAGTTTTAATTAAGATGATTATAAAGTCGCCCATAGTTGTAAGAAATGATGACACTTTGCCTGGTTTTTCCCAGCGGTGACATTTTGCCAAACTCTAGTTTACTCTGGGTGGCTCAGTCGTTAAGCGTCAGCCTTCAGTTCAGGTATGATCCTCAGGGTCCTGGGATCCAGCCCTTCATGAAGCCCCACATTGAGCCCCACATTCGTGCTCAGCAGGAAGCCTGCTTTCCCTCTCCCACTGCCCCCCGCTTGTGTTCCTGCTCTCGCTGTCAAATAAATAAATAAATAAAATCTTCAAAAAAAAAACGAAAAAAACAGACCAAAACTATCCTAAACAGGATACTGATGTTGGTACGATTTACCAGTCCTATCCGGATCTCCCCACCTTTACGTTACTGACTCCTGTGTGCGTGAGGACCTCTGCAGGGGTAGCACCTGCGCAGGTCTGCATGTCCACCGCCGGACTCAAGATCCTGGAATTCTCCGTATGCAGGCCACCCCTGTCCCACTCACCTCCCATCCTTGACCCCTTGCAACCAGCAATCTGTCTTGTGTTTCTAAAGTCGTATCGTATCCAAAATCCATTTGTACAGTGTGTGACCTCGTGGGCTTGGCTTTTATCTGCTCGTGCAGTTCTGTGCAGGTCCATCTGGGCTACACACGCAGCACGGCTGTTTGGGTTTGCTAAGTAGTGTCGCAGTGTGCACATATGTGCTGCAGTTCAAGGATGTCTGGACTGATCCGAGTTTGGGGCTGTTACAAATAAAGCTGCTCTGAATGTCCTGTGTACGTTTTTACGTGAACATGTATTTCCTTGTCCTTTGGCTGAGTCGGCCAGGAGCCGACCTGCTGGGTCCTGCAGCAGGTGTGTGCCGGGTCGTTTCCAGAGCTGCCTGGGGCCCTTGAAAGCTGTATCTGCTCTGCCCTCCACTTCTGGGCAACCTGTGTGGACGGCTTTGCGTTCGCTGGAGTTTCACGCAAGGACCCTGCCTTGTCTTTGGCCCCTTCCGTTCAGCAGCCGCTGAGTCGTCGGTGGTGTGTGCGTGTCGGAGGCTCATTCCCTCCCCGCTGAGCAGTCGACCGCTCTGGGGTCGACCCTTTCTGTTTATCCGCTCTCCGGTCGGCAGACACTGGGGTTGTTTCCAGACTTTGGCTGTTGTGAGTGAAGCTGCTGCGAGTGAAGCTGCTGCGAACATTGGCGTGTGAGTCTCTGTGTCGACGTGTGTGTTCATTTCCTGTAGGCGCGCGCGGCGTCCGGCGGACGGACTGCGTGTCCTGCCCGGGGAGTGCGTGTGTGCCTTGGGGGCGAGAGCTCCGTTGCCTCACACCCTGCTGAGACGTGACAGGGCTCGTCTTCCCGGGGCCGGCCGCTCTGGTGGACCCGTGTTCTGCGCCTCTGAGTGACAGGATGAGCCTCTTCCGATGTACTCCTGACCCTCTGTGTGCCCGTGTCACTGTGGCCAGCATATGCCCTTCGTTTTTCCGTACAAACTTTGAGATCGTTTTCTCAATTTTTGCAAAAAAGCCTGCTGGGATTAGAGTTAAGATTGTATTGATTCTCTAGATCAGTTTGGAGAAAATTAAGTCTTTTCTGATCTATGAACATGATAAAGCGCAATTTTTTTTTTTTTAATTTTTGTTTCTCTTGGCAACGTGTTGTTTTCAATGTAGGGTTTGTATGTCTTTTGTTGAATTTTATTCCTAAATAATTCTGTGATTTTGGATGCTGCTGTAAATGAAACCTGAAGTAGTAATATTTTCCAATTGTTTACTACTCTCAAATAAAAATACGGTTGCTTTAGGGGCGCCTGGGTGGCTCATCTGTTAATCGTCTGCCTTCAGCTCAGGTCGTGATTCCAGGTCCTGGGATCGAGCCTCGCATCGCATCCGGCTCTCTGCTCAGTGGGGAGCCTGCTCCTCCCTCTCCCACTCCCCGTCCTTGTGTTCCCTCTCTCACTGTGTCTCTCTGTCAAATAAATAAATAAAATTTAAAAAAAAATATATATATATGTATATATATAGTTGTTTTAAATATTTATATCCTGTGACCTTGCTAAATTAACTTTTTAGCTGTAGTTGGTTTTTTGTTTCATTGTTTTTGTTTTTTGTTGATCCCTTAGGGTTTTCTTTGTAAACAACCCAGTCATATCAGCTGTAGGGTTTCGGTTGGATGTCCTTTATCAGACCGAGAAAGTTCCCAATGTATTGAGAATTTTTTATTTTTTAAATTTTTTTAAAGACTTTATTTATTTGAGAGCGAGTAAGCCAAGTCCAACAGGGGAGAGACAGAGGGAGAAGCGGGCTCCCTACTGACCAGGAAGCCCGATGGCCAGCTCCATCCCAGGACACTGAGATCCTGACCTAAGCTGAAGGCAGACGGTCAACTGACTGAGCCACCGAGCACCCTACTGAGAAGTGTTACAGTCATGAGTTAGTGTTGAACTCGCCGGTGCATCGGCGAGTCTTCGAGATGGTCATGTGGTTTACCTCAGTTCTATGATATGGTAGACACGTTGGTTTGTTCTGAAATGTTAAATCAGGCTTGCCTTCTTGGGATAATTTCTACTCATAGATTCAATTTGCTAATATTTTGTTAAGGATTTTTACGTCTATACTTGTAATGGATTTTTTGGTAATGTCTTTGTGAGGTTGTGCTGGCCTCCAAAAACAAAAGTCCCCTTCTCCTCTGTTTTTGAAAAACTTTGTCCAAGATTGATGTCTTTCTTCCTTGGATATTGGGTAGAAAAGTCATCCGGGCCTGGAACTTTGTTTGTGGGAAGGTTTCCTTTCTTTCTTTATTTTTTTTTTTAAGATGTTATTTATTTATTTGACAGAGATCACAAGTAGGCAGGCAGGCAGGCAGAGAGAGGAGGAAGCAGGCTCCCCGCTGAGCAGAGAGCCAGACGTGGGGCTCTATCCCAGCACCCTGGGATCATGACCTGAGCCAAAGGCAGAGGCTTTAACCCACTGAGCCACTCAGGAGCCCCTGTGGGAAGGTTTTCTATTACAGATTCAATTCTGTTAATGCATTTAGGACTATTCAGATTTTCTGGTTGGGTAAATTGTATTTTTCAAGGCATTTATCTGTTCCATCTAATTGCTTGGCATAAAGTTGTCCATAATTTTTTCTATCATCTTTTTTGTGCCTGTAGGGTCTGTAGTGATGACCCCTCTTTTTTTTCCTTCCTCATGTCACTGATTTCTGTTTTTGTTTTTTTTTTTTTTGGTCAGCTGTTGATCAATTTTGTTGTTTTCAAAGAGCCAACTTTTGGCTTTGTTAACTTTCTTTGTTGTTTTTCCGTTTTTTATTTTGTTGATTTCTGCTCTTTATTATTCCCTTCCTTCCATTTCCTTTGGGTCCTGCTGCTTCTGGTATTGTGAACTTGAATCTTAGGTCTTAGTTATATGTTATATTTTACTATTAAATTAAAAATAATTTTTCTTATGATTTCTTCTTTGGGTTACATGTTACTTAGCAGTGTGTTGGATATTAAACACTTGAGGCTTTGGGGGCACCTGGGTGGCTCAGTGGGTTAAGCGTCTGACTTTAGCTCAGGTCATGATCAGGGTCCTAAGATCAAGTCCCGTGTCAGGTTCTCTGCTCAGTGGGAAGCCTGCTTCTCCCTCTCCTTCTGCTGCTCCCCCTGGTTATGCTCATGCGCTCGCTCTCTCTCTTAAAAAAAAAAAAAAAAAAATTCTATTAAAAAAATTCTTGAGGTTTTCTTAGGTATCTTAATGTTGGGTTTCTAACTTAATTCTGCTAAGGTCAGAGAGCACACGGTGCGTCATTTCAGCCCATTAAATTTATTGAAATTTGTTTTAAAGTCTAACATGTGGCATGTCTTCGTGATTTTTAAAAAAAACTGTTTATGAATGTTGGGTGTCCCATACGTATCAGGTCATGGGGTGTAGTGTTTTTAGGATCATCCATTTTTCTTGTTTATTGTTGTTCATTCTGTGTTTCTCCGAGAGGGGTGCTAAGATTTTTATAGCTGCGGGTTGTCTGTTTCTCCTTTAATTCTGTCAGGACTTGGATTCAAGCATTCTGAGGCTCTGTCTTTAAAGTGTGTAGTTGGGTCTTAAGTTTTTCTCCATTCTGGTAACCTCTTTTTTTTATTGGACTTTTTAGTCTAAAGAGATCATTTTTTTCTTTTAAAAGGCTTTTTAGGGGCGCCTGGGTGGCTCAATGGGTTAAGCCGCTGCCTTCGGCTCAGGTCATGATCTCAGGGTCCTGGGATCGAGTCCCACATCGGGCTCTCTGCTCAGCAGGGAGCCTGCTTCCCTCCCTCTTTCTGCCTGCCTCTCTACTTGTGATCTCTCTCTGTCAAATAAAAAAAAAAAATCTAAAAAAAAAAAAAAAAAAAAAAAGGCTTTTTAACTGTACTTTTTGGGATTTGTTGTTGTTGTTAAAGATTTTATTTATTTACATGATAGAGACAGCAAGAGAGGGAACATAAACAGGGGGAGTGGGAGAGGGGGAAGCAGACTCCCCGCTGAGCAGGGAGCCCGAAGCGGGGCGATCCCAGCCTGGGATCATGACTTGAGCAGAAGGCAGACACTTAACAGCTGAGCCACCCAGGTGCCCCACTTCTTTGGATTTTTTAATTTCGAGGTTGCTCTGGAGATTACAGTCAACCCAGTTTTTTACAGTCTGCTCAGTGTGGTGGTCCTCTAGCCCTCCACAGGCGCACTTGCAAACGTAGCCTCTGGTCTCCACATGGGACCACTCCCCACAGCCCTTCACGTTGTGTCTGTGACCCGCGCGGCCCCCACCCAGCGGTGTTGTGATTGCTTGCTTCGAACAGTCATCTGGGTAGAGGCCTTCAGCTCTGTGGCCGGACACTTTATCGATACTTTTTGATGTTTTCTTTGCAGTTTTCTTACAGATTAACCTACCATGGCCGACCAGAGACAGCGCTCACTCTCTACCTCTGGGGAATCACTGTACCATGTTCTGGGGCTGGACAAGAACGCAACCTCAGATGACATTAAAAAGTCCTATCGGTAAGAGGGTCTTGTGCCTTGTGTGCTTCGATCTGCATTTACCAGGAACCACTGCGTGTGTCTCCCCCTGCCTGGCCCGTAGGTGACTGGGACCCGTAGCTCCATCTTTGTGTGCATCATGTGCCCCTTGTAGCTTAAAATTCTCATATCAGTACTTTCGTGGCAACAGAAAAGTAACACTTTGTAGATGACACACACTGTGTGCCCTGGAGCGGCCGGTCGCTCTGGGAAGCAGGTCTGAGCCTTCTCCTTCCCGCAGCCCCTCCCGTAGCCTTTGGAGGCAACTAACCTGTGGCTTCGTGGAGTCAGCTGCAGAGAGAGACACACATCCTCGGTGATCCCTACCCTTGCAGCGACCCTCCTGTGTGTCCTTCCCCTTGTGTACTTCTCACACACAGGAGAAAATAGGCCTGTGGTGCACCCCTTGCCTGGCACCGTATTTGGCCAAATGCGCAGTTAGCCTGCAAGGACACTAGAGGTCAGCAGTGGGGTCTGCCTCTGAGCTCTGCCAGAGGGTGGGCTGCCGGCTGGGTCGCTGGGGGTAGCCCGCGCCTGGGGACTCCCCGCTCTGTGGCAGAGCCAGGAGGCTTGCCCCAAGGCAGCTGCAGAGCTTTCTTCGGACTGTGAACTGCTCAAACTCCGTGGAGAGTTGGGAGGTGACATGTACTGGAGAGATGTTTCCTGCACTGGGCCCTCCCTCTCATGGACGAGTGTGAAATAAGGGACAAGAAATGGTTTTGTTTGCAGGAAACTTGCCTTGAAATATCACCCCGACAAGAACCCCGATAACCCAGAGGCTGCAGACAAGTTTAAGGAGATCAACAACGCCCACGCCATCCTGACGGACGCCACAAAAAGAAACATCTACGACAAGTACGGCTCGCTGGGGCTCTACGTGGCCGAGCAGTTTGGGGAGGAGAACGTGAACACCTACTTCGTGCTCTCCAGTTGGTGGGCCAAGGTGAGGGGAGCAGGCGGCCCCGTGCCGTGCTCCGGGTGCCCCGGGAGAGTCTCCTGCCCGGTAGGGATCAGGGTCTGGCAGAGCGAGGGCGTTTGGTCCAAGTGCTCCATGCTCCTGAGCCTTGGTGTCCCGGCGTCTGGTGCCCTTTTTCGTCACCACGTGTCAGCGCAGGGCCTGGTCTCGGCCGCTGGTGGCGCACAGCCGGCTCAGGAGCCCATGAGTGGCCGCCTGAAGGCTCCGAGCAGACCCCACGACGAGCCGGCCGTGTCACTCGGCTCTCACGAGTCACCGTCCGTTCTTGCACAGAGATCGGAAGGGACCTCTTCCGTCCCATCGTGGGCAGATGCTCTTGTCAGTGCAGGGGAAGACTTGTCGGAAGTCTCTGTGACTTGACACACTTCGGACATACCGTTTCTGTTCTTTTTTGGATGCTTACGCATGTCCTCCTCCTGCCGCGAGCACGTGTGGCCCGCGGACGCCTTCCTGCCCGTCTTCGTAGGTCCCTCCTCGGGGCCCTTGCGCTCTGTCCCTGTCTTCCCGCCCCGGCTCTGGCAGGACAGAGGCCTCCACGGCGGCCACCCCCCCCCACCCCCCAGGAGCTGTGCGGGGCCGGGGGGAGGCGCTCCCAGGGGCGGCCCGCAGCCAGCACCCCTGTGCCCCGCAGCTGCTGTTCGTGGTGTGCGGGGCGCTCACCTGCTGCTACTGCTGCTGCTGCCTCTGCTGCTGCTTCAACTGCTGCTGCGGCCGCTGCAAGCCCCGGGCGCCTGCGGGCGACGCCGCCGACTTCTACGTGTCCCCTGAGGACCTGGAGGCGCAGCTGCAGTCGGACGAGCGGGGTGAGTGTCCGCAGCCCCGAGCGGGGTGAGTGTCCGCGGCCCCGAGCGGGGTGAGTGTCCGCGGCCCCGAGCGGGCGCGGCCGGGCGGGGCGGGCCCTGAACCCTGCCGCCCTGTCTTGTCGAGCAGGAGGGCTCTGACTGTGCGGGCGCGTGTGTGGCGGCAGGGACTGTTGAGGTGTGAACGTGGACACTCGAGGTAACGGTGGACGCAGGGGCCGTCCCCACCCGTGGCCGGAAGCGCCGCGGCTCCGCGGCACCGAGTAGCGGGGGAGGGACCGAGGTGGCGGAGCAGGCCGAGCTGGGGGGAGGCCCGCAGACAGCCTCTCCCCTCTGCACCCCCCCGCCCCCGCCCCCGCCCCCCCCCCCCCCGGCAGAGCGGCCAGGCCGCGGAGCACGGACGGTGTCAGGGCCACGCGTGCCATTGCGGCCGCCCGCGCCGACGAGCACGCGTGTGCTTGCTTTGCAGAGGCCACAGACACACCCGTCGTCGTACAGCCCGCGTCGGCCACGGAGACCACCCAGCTCACGGCCGACTCCCACCCCAGCTACCACACCGACGGCTTCAACTAGGCCCAGGAGTGGCCGCGGTAGAGGCTAGCCCGGCCACTTCGCCCCTAGAGTCACGGACCGTAGTCACAGAGATGGGGAGCGCGCAGCCGCCGGCCCGCCGGGGCCCTGCCCACCTCTGTGCCCGCCCGCCTGTCGCCCCCACCACGTGAAGTGCGTCGCATGCAGTATTCAAAGCAGTTTAGCTACGGTCTCCTCCCCCTTCTGTTTCCTCCTTTTCTAATAGCATGTACGGGTTCTGTTCCATGTCTGTGCTGTGGACGTGCTGCGGCGTGACCGTGTTAACCAGACCGTGGATCTTCCTTGGGGCTTACGATGCGCTGCACCGACCACGGCTGCGTGCTGGGTCCCCGCCAGGCAGGCTGGGGCAGGAGGGGTGGCTCCTTTCCCTGGTGTCGGTGGGGGCCGGAGGCGGGTGCTGCCTGGCGGGGGCTGGGAGGTCCAGTCCGCACCGTGCTTGGCGGCGGTATGGACGCAGGCAGAGCCTCTGGACGCTGTACTGGGAAGGAGCTGGCATGTCCTCCCACTCTGCCCGGTCCCGTCAGCACTTCCGTGGTGTTGGTTTGTGCGGGTCTGTTTGCTTTGGTTGCTTGGCCTTGTGGCAGGGTCTTTCCCACGGGGAGGCTCGCTGTGGAAAGTGTGGGAGGCTCTGGTGACCGCAGGACCATATTTTCTACCTGGGCACGGCCTCGGTTTCCATGTCACGTGGTCCTCGGGGCACACGCCCTCACCAGGCACTTCTTCTACTGCGCTCCCACCCTGTCCCCAAGCCACGAGCTGGACTGATGGGGCCACATTCCTCCGTCTCCTCCACATTCCTTCAGGCCCACCTGGCCTTCTGGTGGTCCTTCCTGGACCTCTAGGAACCACAGATGGTAGCAGTGACCGGTGTGCTGTTGTCAGAGGGGCTGACCGTCCAGGTCGCTGGTGGAGCGCGGCTGGATAGCCCCGGGAAGCACCCGCGGGGAGCCCAGCCCTCTTCTCTGTGCTTCCCAGAGCTCATACCCACCCCACTGGCCTTCGCCTGTTCCCTTCAGTCACCATCGATGGTTCAGGCAGAGCTAGAGATGCTGGGTTCCTGGAGGAAGGACCAGCTGGACCAAAGGCACAGCCTGGTGCCCTTGGCTTGTGAGCCGGCGGCCTGACTGCAGACCCCACTCGCCATTGTCTCAAGCAGAGCCTTCTGTGAACTGTGGGAAATCAGTCCTTCTTGTCTTTGACCCAGAACTTGTGGGTGGTGCATCTGCTGCAGGGGACGAGGAAACGGGTTATGATGGGCCCGTGCTGGCCCAGAGGTCACAGTGGCCCCCGCACCCCCAGCAGCCCTGAATGTGGCGTGGCTCCCTGCTGGGCCTGCACTGGTCACCGGAGACCCAAGCGGTTTCCACAGAAGGAACCCATGGCTGCTGGTGCGTGTCTCCTGCGTGTCCAGTAGGTGAAGAACGAGGAGGACCGTGTCGGCTCAGGCGCACCAGAGCGTGTTCCCATGCCCACTGTTTCCACCACCACCAGCCCGCACCCCGCTCACCTGCTGGCCCTTGGCCCTTGTCTGCCCACCCACAGCTGTGCCGAGCGCAGGTTCTTATCGGCCCGGAACGGGCTGTGACGGGAGGGCAGCCTCCGTGCAGAACGTGGACAGGCTCCGAGCGCAGTGCTGAGGGGAGGCGGGCTGTGGCCGGGTTGTAGCTGTTGCATTTGTGGCCACTCCCAGGTCCTTGGGCAGGTTTGTGGTCCTTTGTTTGTTTGTTTTCTGTTGTTGTTTTTGGCTTTTGTTCATTAAAATAATCATGAAGACATTCAGTGAGAGAGAAAATTTGCACTATGATCTTAAATTATGCTAAAATCAGACATCATGAAAGGATAAGAAATTCACTGACCCACCCTGGACAAGGGAGGAGGTAAGACCACAGGTCCATCTTCTGTGCCAGTCCCGACCCAGCAACAAGAACGCAGCTTTGTGACGTTTCTGAAAATAACTTTCTGACCTGTTTTTCACTGGAATGGCCAAGAACCAAGTTCAAAGCTGGGACTTGAGGTAGCAAGCCTCCCCACTGCGGGGGTTCCCTGCAGCTCTGTGGCCGGGAAACCTCAAGGCCCACCACACAGGTCCGAGCGAGTCCTCGACGGGTGGCTTCCACGCGACAGAACGGGAAGCTCCTCTGGGGACCTGGGTTCAGGAGGAGGAGCAGGTCTGGAAGGTTGTCCAACCCGGGCTCCTGTAGAATTTGTAAAAACTAAATAAATCATGACAGTGATGGTAACAACCCTAAAGGTGGTGGTGGTGATGATTGCCCAAGGCCCAGGGACCCCAGGGTCCAGACGGGGACCTTGAACTCTCCCCGCCTGGCCCTGAAGGCATTTCCACCTGGTGATTCTGACGCGGAGCCCTTCCGAAGTCGAAGTCGGCCATACTCGCCAGCCGCCCCCGTTGCGGTTCCCTTTTCCTGGAGTGGTCCGCCTGTCTGCCCACCACACGGCCGCGAGAGCCCCTGAGCCCTCACCCTAGGGCTGCCCGGAGCCCGGGCCGCGTGTGGCCGGGGAGTGCTGGGCCGGTGCAGGCTGAAGCCCGTCCCGTGTCACAAAGCGCGGGGCTTGACCCAGGGGGACCCCAGAGCAGCCGGTGGCTGGTGGGGAGCGTAGGAGGGCCCCGCGGGGCGGCTGCTGGCAGCTGCTGGCGTGTACACTTCTGTTCCCGCTCCGTGATGGGGTTGGTCTTCCTCGTCTTCCCTTTGGCTTTCTTCTGCTTTCAAACTGCTTCAGATGTTACCGCTCAGTGTGCGTGAGGCCTCGTAGTTCCCGGTCAGTGCTGCGGGGGAAGCCGCGGCTGCCGTGCATGGGCTCAGAGCAGGTGGCCTTTCCACGCTGTTGGCCGCCCAGCGTGGCTGTGTCGGGGCTGCTGCTGCGCGTTCTGACCGCAGCTGGGCCCGGCAGGCGAGCTCGAGCTGGAGGAGGGCCTGCTGGTGCGGCTGGCGGTCGGGGAGACGCGTGGCCTCCCGGCAGCTGGCCCTCGGGATGGGACAGCCAGCAAGTGGGGTGGGCGCCTGCCCACAGGCAGAGCTCGGGGTGCCTCCCGAGGGGCGGGTGTGAGTGTGGAGAGAGCGGCTGCTGTCCGTCCTTCCTCAACATGCTGCTCTGTGAGCCCGTGTGACACAGGACTGTCCTGCCCGTTGTTACTTTGGTTGTGAACCGTCCCGTGGAATTGGCAAAAGCTCCATTTTTACTGTCCTTCCACGCACGGCTGGCAGTGTGTGCAGTGGGTGTGGGCAGCGAGCGTATCTCTGTGTGTGTACATACGTGTATATGTATACACCCCGCTGCGGGCGTGACTGCTGCTGTCCGGCGGTCCGACCCCAGACAGCCTGGGTTTCCTGGGAGTCGGGTCTTGAACAGGGTCTCGGTGGCGCACTCCTTTGCTGGATGTGCAGAGGTGAACACCGGCCCTGGTGTGTGCCTGGGCTTTGCACGTGCTGTGGCGGCCTCGTCCTGCCAGCGGCACCTTCTCTGGGGGGAGGGTGCTGGGGCTCCCGAGGGGGTGACTGTCACAGTGCCAAGCCCGTCCCTGGGGGCCCACCCGTGGGCTCACTTGATCTCCAGGTGAGTGTCCTTTTGTGACATCTGGGTGGTTGGAAGCCTTTCCCACCCTTGAAACATTAAAACCAATTTTCTGAGCCTCAGATAACAGTCAGTGACGAAGGGCATTCCAAAGGGGACTCTGCCCCAACTGCAGGTCTGGCTTGGGAGGGGGCCACCGGGAAGGAGGAGGGGCGACTCGATGCCGTCCGTGAGGAAGGGGCTGGGCTCAGGTACAGGCAGTAGCTTTTGGTAGATTTTGTTTCCCTAGAAAATGGGACAATGTTTCAAGCTAAGTGAGGGGAGGTAGTTTACACTGAAATACGTGTGTGTGTGTGTGTGTGTGTGTGTGTGTGTGTACACACACACACACACACATTGTCTGAAAATACTAAATGCAACGCGTGGCAAGCAGCTGTCCGTGCGCTGGTTCCTGGTTTCGTCCTGTTGCTGGAATCCCCCAGTGCTAGGTGGCTGTGCGTCTGACCGCAACCCCCATGTGTGCCCCAAGGGCCCGGCTGGAGGCTTAGGATGGTCCCGTAGTGATCTCCATCTTGTATGTCTGAATGTTGACCTTAAGATAATGATAACCGTTGTAAAATAAATGTTTTCACTGCAAACCAGGCATGTGTCTCATTCAGTGACCCCGCAGAGCCCTTTTCCAGGGGAGTCGTGCACGGCGGGGCAGGGGACGCACTCCCGTGTTCGTGGCCCAAGTGCGGACCAAGGCCCTCCTAGGTTCTGTTCTCAGGTGCTGTCCGAGCACCCCCAGCAGAGTGAGGAAAGGGTCCTGTAAGCCCTGGTGGCTCGGACTGGGTTCTGCAGCCCTCCCGGGACACATCCTTGCTTCTGCTCTCCCCTCCTCTGCACCTGCCTATCGGTAACTCCTCCCACCACCCCAGCCCGGGACTGTCCCCGCTGCCCACATAGCCGGGCATCACCCTCCATCCTCCGGTCACGAAAGCAGGCTTCTGGGCTGCAGGGGTCCGGAGCAGCTCGCCAGCCTGGGCCTGAGCCCTCGGCTACACAGCGGCCCTGTCCTCGGCTGGTAGCCACAAGGTGGACGAAGGGTGACAGCCATGTCCCTCACACCTGGGCCTGTGCTCCGTGCTGAGATGTGTCCACCTCTGCGCCTGGCCCTTCAGAGGGGGGCTTCCTGGGATTGTCCCACTGCCTCCTCCACCCAGGGAATCAGTGTGGGGTATACTCACGTCCTCATGCCTGGACACGGCTGTCCTGTCCACCTGGGTCACGTCCATGCCAGCAGCGAGTCGGGTGGGCCAGATGGAGGACGGTCAGGTCATGACTCCCAGGGGCTTCTGAGAGTGTGGAGCAGGGCCTGGCCAGGGACTCTGGGTGGGTCACAGCCTTGGGTGTCCGGCCCCACTGACACCACTTCTGTGCCTCTGTCTTCTCTTCCTGGAGATAAATGTCTAGTGGCAGACTCTTGTAGGAAGTGCCGTCTCGCCTCAGGGCAGGTGTGTCCCTGGGGGTTCTGCACACATCAGGGCGGATGGGGTCCTGTCGGTGGGCAGGGCCTAACCTGAGACTCCAGCCCAGGGACCCTGGCCTTAGGCGGGAGAGGCCACCCACACCCAGGAGGTTGTGTGGGTGTGACCACAAGGCCCAGGCCGCAGGTGCCACCTTCCACACCCTCTCATACCTGGGACCCTCTGAGGTCAGGGTGCTGGGTCTTCTGTTCCCTTGACTGAACTCAGGGCAAGGCAAAAATAGTTTGAAAAAAATAAAGCAGCGTCAAAGCACTAAGAATGATATAAGAAGCACCTTGAAAGGAGCCCTTCATCTGGGACACACGAAGTAGCTGTGACTCGGAATCTCCATGAAGGAGAGAAGGGCGGGCGGTGTGGAACTGCCGGCCATCTCCCCCCGCCCCGCCCCAGTGCCCCCTCCTGCGGCAGCCACCAGCCTGCCAGTGTGCGCATCCGCAGATTTCGTTCCTGATTTTATGACGTCAGCCTGAAGGTGCCTCCGGGTGCTGGGCCGGTGGGAGCTCTCATGCAGGGTGCGGGTTTCTCCAGGCGTCGGCCCCGAGGTCTGGTCTGGTTCCGCTCATTTCCGGGCCCGGGGGGCGTCGTCATCCAAGGGACTGAGGGCAGATGCTTGCCGCCCCTGCTCACGGAGGACATGGGCCTTCAGGTCTTCGCTGCTGACCAGAGCTGGGCTAACCCCGGGGGTGCCGCAGGCTGCCCTCAGTGGCTGCGCCGTCCGCGGCCGGGGAGGCCCCTCTCCCCTCCTCGCCTCTTCGCAGGCGTTCCCTGTGGGGTTCTCGCAGCGACACGGAGGTCGCCAAGCCCTCATGCCGGCCATTCCGGGTGGTGGGCGGCGGGACCTCGCTCCTCCCCCTGACCCAGGGCCGCAACGTCTTGTATCCCTGACCTAGGGGACTGTGGGCCAATGGCGGGGTGGGGGTGCGGCTCAATGGCAGTTCCCGGAGATTCCCAAAGTCCTCTACCCCACGGCCAGTCTCGGAACTCTGGGCTCCTGGCGGAGGTCGTGGTCGCCATGTGCGGACGGGGGTCTAGGTGCGCGGCCCCCTCCCTCTCCGCACCGCCCGTGAGGAGCGCGACCTGGGAGCCGCGGGCCACCGCGAGCCTCGCGGGGCAGGAGTTGGGACGCGGGGGGCGTGGCCTCCAGGAGAGGCGGGGGGGGGGCGTTGCCCAGCGCGCGTCTCCCCCTCCCCCGTCACCATTTGAAATCACTTAGGACACGAGCTGGAAGGGGCTTGCAGGGCGCGTCTGGGGACCCAGGGCTCAACCCGGCCACGGTAGCCACCCCACGGGAGACCCACGCACATCCCCGGGGGGCCCCCCCGGGCACCAAAGACCAGCGCCGGCAGGACGCGGGGGGCGGCCCGCTAGGTCTGGAGGGGTCCCCGGCCGGAGCCGGAGGGGAAGGCCCCGGCGGGAAGGACCCTCCAAGTCCCGGACACCGGGCTCTCTCCGGCTTCAGAGGGACCCCTGCTCCTACTCAGACCCTGCTCTGCGCCCCGGTTCCCTCGCCCTCCGTACAACTCCGGGGGTCTCCGAGGCCGCGGTCCCCTCCACCCCTGCGCGCTCGCTCCCACGCGGGCCCCTCGGTCCAGGATGAAGGTGCTCGGCCGGGCCGGGGCGGGGGCGGGGGCGCGGTGGGGGCGGGGACATCCGGGAGGGGCGGGGCCGGCGCTAGCTCCACGCGACCCCGCGCCAGCCCCGGCGGTTCTTGGGCCCCCGCTGGAAGTGGGGTGGTGACCAGAGGAGCCTGAGGACGGGAGCCAGGCCCACCGGCCCGCAGGCGACCCCTGATGCGTCGCTGGAGGTGGGTGCAGCTCAGCCCCAGCCCTTCCTCTGGCCCCGGCATGTGGCGGTCAGAGAGTGGGTCCCTGTGCGCCTCCATGCACAAATTACCCCTTTCCTGCTCTTCTAACCCAAGCCCAGCCCCAGTCCACCCGCTCACCCCTGCCCTGCCCCTTCGCATCTCAGAATCTGCTCAGACCAACCCTCCAGCCCCTCCGGGCTGAGCCTCGAAGTCCCCAGCCTCCCGCCCTCTGGCCCTCTGCTCGGGGTCCATGCTGGAGCACCTGGGGACTAGGAACTCAGGCATCTTCCAGCGTGTGTCCCGACTCCAGGCGGCCCACTGAGGCCCCAGGAGGGGTGGAGTCCTTCCCCTGGCCATACCAGCCCCAGCCCCTACTGACAGCCTGCATGGCCTGCCCCACTTGGCATGACAACCGTATGTCCCCAGCGCCGGGTCTGGGGCCCCATCTCCTGGCAGGGGCGCACCCCAAGCTTCCCTTTCCGCCTTGTGGCAGCCGCTGCTGGGGAAGGGGTAGCACCTCACAGACTGACGAACCTGAGACTGACCCTGGAGACACCATTCTCAGGCTGGCCAGTCCTGGAGGCACTACCCAGGGACGGCAGGCAAAGCCCTCAGCAGGCCGGTGTGTTGTGGGAGCTTCTGGACCAGTGTCTAGGGTGGGCTCCAGGTCTGCACCCCACCCACCTCTTCCCCTACCAGGCCCTGAGGCTATGTCCAGGTTGTAGCTCTGTCTTCCCAGCTCCCCTCAACTGCTCCCCCAGGTGCCTGCCCCACCCCTCCCCCAACCCCCAGCGAGTAGCCAGAGTTCCCCAGGGATGGGCTTGTCCACCCCTGGAGGGCCACGCCTAAGCCTTCTCCCCATGCTGCAGTCCCTTGATGTGTCCAGTAAGCTGTGTTGGGTGTCCCCGGGGGAGTCTTGAATCTTGCTTCCGGCCCTGTCTCTGGGACTAAGAGGCTCCCAGGGGCCAGAGGAATTGCCCCTCCTTTCATAGGCATCTGGAAGACCCTCTCCCAGCGCTGTTTGGAGAGTGACCCACTTCTGCCACCGCCGCAGGGGCCTAGCAGGAAATGGGCTCAACAGGTCCCCTAGCCCGTGACCTAGCCTCCCCCAGTTGCCTCAGATGAGCGGCCCAGAGCCTGAGGGGGCAGGTCCTCTGATTCAGGCTTCCTGCCTCCCCATTCTGCCCTGGCCCCCCGTGTTGTCCTCCCCCAGAGGTAGTGGCTGAGTTGGGGGAGGGCCTCTGTGCCACAGCACGTGAGACCTGTGCCTGGTGCTTGTTCATGCACGTGCATCTGTGGGTTTGGGTTATTCTTAGGGAGCTGGTCGGCCCCTGGCTAGACTCTGGGGAGGTCCCCAAGGCATGATCCAGACGCCCCCCCCACCCCCTGCCGCTCCTCAGTAACTGTTCCTTATCTGGAAGACTTGGCTTGACAGGAAGCCATCTTCCCAGCCTCAGGGTCCCAGCACCCCTCCTAAGCCGGTCAGGCCAGGCTCCCAGCACATAGCACCAGGACAGAGGGAGCGGGGGTTCTGGAATGTGGCGGAGGGGTCCACTCACCAGCTGCGGCAGAAGCTCCTCCCGCTGACCTCTGGGCCTTGTGTGGGTGGATTCTCTGCCCCCGGCGTCTGGCCTCCCCTTGGACAAGCCTCCTGCCTATGTCTGCCTGCCCTTGGCCTGGCCCCCACCCGGTGACTTCCTGTCCCCGCCCCCACAAGCTTGTCCATGACATGGCCTTTGTTGGGGTGTGGGGGCGTGCAAGGAGACCAGAAGGGCGGGAAAGAGGCAAGACCCAGGTCTGGACGACAGAGGGGTAGGGAGGCTGACTGCCCACTCCCAGCAGCCCGGAGGTCTGCACCATGCACAAACCCCCACCCCGCGGCAGATCTGCCACAGACAGGCTGTCTGGGGGGAGCTGCAGAAGCAACGAAGGCAGAGCTGGAGGTGGGTTTCTGGCCCTGAACGGTACGGCTGGCCCGCGGACACTGTGTGGCCATCTCCCCTGCAAGTGAGGCTCCTGCCAGCAGCAGGGACCAACGTGCCACTCCCTCCTACAGCCGCCCACATGCTGATGTCCGCTGGGCTCCCGTACTGTGCAAACTCGCGGTGGGGGCGGGGGTGGTGGGGGGCTGCAGAGGGGCCCATCTAGCAGAACCAGGAGCTGTGGGCCCCAGCTCTATCCCCCTAAATACTGACACTGAGCCCAGACTGTAGGGAAAGCCCAGTGCGGGAGCAGGAACACAAGTTCTACGCCGGGTAAGGAGAGGTTCTGAACGGGCTCAATTCCCTCCCTCCCCGTGGTGGGCCTGCAGCCTGGGCGCTGGGGCTACTCCGCGAGCCCAGGTCTCAGGCAGGACAGCACCCGAGTGCCCCCAGCTAACCAGGCACAGCTTCCTTTTCCCAAACTTTATTTTATAAAATGTAGAGAGTAAGTAACAGCGGTAACATCCTTCTTAATTAAAATAATTTAGGACATCCCTACACACAGGGCCCTGAGGCAGAAGAGCCCCGGTGGTGGCAAGGCAGGAAGGCTCAGGCGGGCAGCTAGCTCGCGGAGGCCACTTCCTCTTCATCACTGCCATCGGGCGCCGCGTCCGTCCCAAAGTAGCGGTCACCGAAGTTACCTGGGGAAAGGAGACCCTTGTGGTGGGGACTCAGGCCCAGCAGGCCGTCAGGCACCACTGCTCAGCCCCAGGCAGCCTCACCGATGCCAGGGATGATGCGGAAAAGGTCGTTGACGCGCTTGTCCACCGCCGTGGTGATGATCCTCACTCGTGGGAACGCGTAGGCCACTGAGTGGACACCCATCTCTGCCATGAGCAGCGACAGCAGGAAGATCTTGTCCTCCGGAACGTCATGGTCCTGCGCCCGAAGGGGCCGGTCAATGCCGACCCAGGCCTGCCCCCCACCCCGCGGCCCCGCGGCCACTCACCAGGAGCACGCGCACCGCCATCATGGCCGCTGCGCCCGTGGACACGGTGCAGTCCGTCAGGATCACGTGGTCGTCGCTGATGTCCTTGGGCAGCCGCAGGTAGTGGAGCTGTGGGGCGCCGAGTCAGAGCCGGCCCAAACCTGGGGCTGCCCCCTTCCTCGCCCCTCGGTCCTCCCCGGGGCCCCTCGGGCCCCCCAGGCTCCCCGAGGCCCCGCAGCCCCGCCCCGCACCTCCGGCTCCCCGGTGAGTTGGTTGGTCTGGATGAGGATGGTCCCTATGCGCACGTCTTTGCACACGGCCCGCAGCGCCGGCTCCATGGTCTCGCCCGCACGCAGGATGGACACGCCAGTGATCTGGGGGCCCGCACGTGGGGGGAGCTGAGCTGGCCGGACCGCCCGCCTCCCCGGCCGCCCCACCCCGTCCCTGGGCTGCGGCCCAGCGGGTACCTGCTTCCCCGCGTAGCACTTGCCCGCGTAGTCCTGCCCCTGCGGGGTCTGCACGACGCAGTCCTGCGCAGAGGGCGTGGGGGTACTGCTGAGCGCGGGGAGCCGCCGCCTCCCTCCCCCCCGCCTTTCCCCCGCCCAGGACCCCCGCCCCACAGCCCGCTCCGCACCTGGAAGGGCAGGAAGGAGAGCGCGTGCTCAATGAGCAGCCGCATCAGCCGCTTGGAGTAGAAGATGAACTCGTCGCGGCTGGTCTCCTTGTCCCTGCGGAACGCGTGGGTTAAGCGGGGGCGCGGGCCGCCGGGGCCCCCTCGCCTCGCACGGGGCCCTCACCTGATGATGGTGTGCATGCCCCGCACCTGCGGCGTGCTCTTGAGGACACTCAGCGTCTGGGGCAGGGGGTGGCACTGGTGCGCCGAGGCCAGCGCGGCCCTGGGAACGCAAATTGGTTGGGGACTCAAGAAGGGGTGTCGCCTCCCAGAGCCCCGTCCTCCCACCCCGGACACTGTGTGTGGGGGCGGGGCGCACGTGATGGGGACAGTGAGGTGTGCAGGTGGGGGCCGCCGCCTCCCTGTGGCTGCTCTGGAGGGCGGGCCCCAACCCGAGTACCCCCGCCAGGCGAAGGCCGAGCAGAGCGGCTGACCGTCAGGGAAAGCGAGGGGCTGCGCTGCGAGCCTCCCCTCCCAGCCCAGAGCCCCTCCTGCGCTTGCTCGGAGAAAGCCAAAGGGGACCAGGCAGCGGGAGCGCGAAGGAACCCCAGCCTCCACGATGGGCGGCTGGTCCTCAACCCCAGAACTTGTCTCTCGGGAACAGCTGAGCTGCGGGGCCAAGCCTCGTCCTGACCCTTCCCCTCCAGGGGATGCATGGCCCCTTCACAGGAGACGCGGGCAGATCCGGCCCCCTCCGGGGTGGAGCGGGCGGGGCGGGGCGGAGGGGGCGGGGCAGGGGCGAGCGGGAGCAGCACCCCCCGCCCCCCAGCGCACACAGCACAGCAGCACAACCAGCGCGCACTCTGTCCTCACATATCCCAGCGCAGCTTCCTCTGCTCGCCAGGTGAAGTGTGTTCAGGGAGGGAACAGGGCAGGAAACCCAAGGGTTTACAAAGAGGAGGAAAAGAACAAAGAGAAAAAGACCGTTTAGGAAGGGAGCGAGGCCCCGGGGCCACCAGCTGGCCTGAGAGCGAGAAGAGGCAGGTGGCAGGGTGACAGGGAAACCCGGGAGGCTTTGCCCACACCCCGCTGCCGTGCCCCACTTCCCGCCCACCAGTCCCACTTCCTGGGCTGGCCAGACCGTGGACAAGAGCCCGCCGCATTTAGGTGTTTTTTTCAAGTTTGCCACCCTGGAAACTTGACGCTCACGACAAAGGCTTCCCAGGGGGCCTGGCAGGGCGAGCCCCGCAGGTGCCTCAGTCTGGATGAAAGCCCAGCGGTGACTCATGCGAGGGCAGCACGCTCCAGGGGCCGTTCCCAATGCACCCGCTCCAGGGCTCTCAAGCATGAACGGGGCTCTCCTGGTGCTCCCCGATTCCACAGAAAGCCCAGGCTAAAGGCAGGTCACTAGTGCGGGGCACTCTGTGAGGTGGGCGCTCCATCCTCTCTCTCCTGGGGCATCCAGAGCTCCCCCCTGGCTCTCAGGGCCAGCGTGGTAAGGGGGTCGGGGGCTGGGGCCTCACCATCTGGGGGCATCCAGACTGGAGCCTAAGATCAGGCAGAGGACCCTCTGACTGCTGAGGGACATGCCTGTGAGCACTAACCTGGGGGGGCCCAGCAGCGCTGGCTCGGGACAGCGGTGCCCTCTGGCGGCAGACCCCATGCAACCAGCCCCCCATGTGGGGGACAGGCCTCCAGAGAGGTCTGACCAGCATAGGGTCAGGGCACTGTGTGAGCCGGGGCAAGTGCCTTAACCTCTCTGTGCCTTTGTTTCCTCAGCTACCAGCAAAGACAGACAAAAGTAGGGTGGGGGCCACCAAGCCATCCTTTCTCTGCCTAGGGCAGGGCTGCCCCCGGGAATGGGCGTGACACCAGAGGACCCTCCCACCTGCCCAGGTGACACCCCAAATTCCGAGCTGCCTGTGGATGCTGGAAGTGCCTCCGGCTGTGCAGACGGGTTTGGGAAGTCTTACCTGACACTGAGCTCACGCTGTGGCAGCAACACAGGGAGACACAAGGGAATGGGGGGGGCGTGTCAGTGGCGGCTCCCCTCGCAGTCACCGGACAGCACAGCCCGTTGCCACTGTGCGCCTCGACCCGCCAGGCCCACCCACCCGGGAAAGGACCTGCCTCAGTCCCCAGGGACAGTCCTGGGTAGCCGCCCGCCACAGGAGGGTGCCCGCTCCTATGGCCCGTAGCCTGGGCACCCTCTGGACTGGGCATGACGAGCCTGGGCTCCTGGGGCCCCGCTCCTCAGGCCTCCAGCACCCCCTTATGAAGCCAAGGGGCAGGACCCTTGGCAAGCCCAGGGCACGTAACTTCAGCTTGGGGCAACCCTCCTGGAGCGCCCTGGATGTGGAACTCAGTGCTAAAACCCCAAAGTCCCCTGAAGCTTTGGGAGGGACAGGAGCGCACCCTTCCACTCAAGGCCCAGCTCAGGTCAGGGGGCCCAGAAGGCACCCCACGCGGTCTCTGGCCCACACAGAGGGCTGGGGCTGAGCGAGCAGGCCTGGGGCACCGGACGCCGGAACAGGGCAGAGGACAATGGACACACAGGGGCAGGAGGGCAGACGGCTGTGAGAGCGGCAGCAGGGGAGTCGGGGAGCAGGGAGAGGGGCTTGGGGGCTGCAGGGCCCGAGGGCCTGGCCCGGCGGGCTCACCTCCTCCAGCTGGCTGTGCATGTGCTGCACAATCAAGTCGATGGCCACCGTGTTCCCACTCCCTGGGACAGGACGGGCAAGGAGGGTCAGGCAGGGGACCGAGACCCCTCCCGCCCACACTCCAACGCAGGCAGGTGCGCAGGCTCACCCCAGGGCACCACGATGTCGGCCACGCGCATCGTGGGCTGGATGTACTGGTCGAAGGCGGGTTTGACAAACTTGTTGTACTGCTTGATGACGCCCTCGATGTCCCGGCCACGCTCACTGATGTCCCGGCGCAGCCGGCGCACCAGACGGATGTCGGAGTCTGTGTCCACAAAGATCTTCATGTCCAGGAGCTGGACAGGGACGGCGAGGTGCTGAGCGGAGCGTGGCGCCCACCCGGGACCAGGCCAGGGGCAGCTTGCGGGGCCGGCCGGCAGTGTGCACGGGTGTGCGGAGCGCGGTGGGGGCGGGCCACTGTCCACCGGGCTTCAGTCAAGGGCACTGGACGGACCCTGGCTGCACAAGCGGGATGGAGCCAGCCGCATTTCTGTGGGGTGCCGGCTGTCCACATGCCCTTGCACGTGCCAGGGCCCAGGGACTTGTCCCCTCCCCGCCTCCCCCACCATAGCGCTTGGGCTTGGAGAGTTGCTTGGTAGTCAACAAGGTTCCGAGCCTGAGCCCAAACTTACTGGCCTCAGAACTACAAGGAACAAGGACCAAAGCACAGGCCTCCCTCCTGGTTCTCAGTGGGGGTGGCAGAGGCTGCCACCCACCGCAGGGCCTGGCGGGAAGGATGCCGCTGTGTGTGCCTCTCAGGGGTCCGAAGGCACAGACACAGGAGGCTGCCTCCATCCCAGGCAAGAGCACACACGTGCACGCCAATGTGGACCAGCACCCACTGTGCCAAGGTCACTCTGACCTCAGCAACTGCATGGGCCCGAGAGCCACCGAGGAGCCTCACACAAGAGGGTGAGTGAGCATGAGAAGAGGTCGAGGCACTGGCCCACGGCTGTGCACCCACAGCTGAGAGTGAGCCCTCCGCAGGCCGCCAACCCCACCAAGGGCATTTCACTGTCTGTGGGAGCGGTGGGTCTGTTCCACCCAGTGTCACCGACCCACTCTCCCAAGAGCAGCTGTTCCCCACCCAACACACAGTGACTGCACCACCGGGATGGGACAGAGCAAGCGGCTTGGCCTGCTAGGAGGAGGCAAATTTAGGATCAGAACCACAGAGAAGCAGGGAGCTGAGCAGGGACGGACATTCCCAGCAAGACCATGAGCCTTGAGCCCCGTCCTCACCTCCAGCAACGCCTTGTCAGCAAAGGCCATGATGCCCTCGAAGATAATCACGTTTGCACCGTACAGTGTTTTCTGCAAAGGGATCGTGCAGCCGGTCGCCCGCTGTGCCTGCCGTGCTCCCAGGCGGGCACGCACAGCCCCAGCCCTTGAGGCCTACCCAGTCCTTCTTCCGGCTGTGGGTGGTGAAGTCGTAGACGGGCACCTTGACACTCTTGCCCTGCTTCAGCTTCTTGAGGGTGGACACGATGAGGTCAAAGTCAAAGGCGTCTGGATGGTCGAAGTTGAAGTTGTTGTGGGCGGCCTGTTCCTGCTGCTGTGTGGTCAGCACCTGTGGCAGGAGGGATCAGGGGCTCCATGCGCCTCTCCACACCATGCCAGAGACCGGGGCGGTGCCTCCAGGCCCTCCGGGGCGTGGCCCGCACTCACAGGCACGCCCCTCACCTTGTAGAAGGAGTCCATGGACAGCAAGACCACCCAGGGCACGTCGAGGGCCTCAATGATCATCCTGGCCACAGTTGTCTTCCCGGAGGCGCTGCCACCTCCCAGGCCTGCGGAAAGGGGCAGAGTGACCCTGAGCAAGAGCAGCAGGGCCAGCCCCTAGCCTGGCTCCAGGGGTGCCCCCCCACACCTACACTCTGCCTGCAGCATCCCCAACCCCCCCGCTCCTCCCCTGCTCTCCACGACGGCGCCCAGGGGACCCGAGGCAGCTCAGGTCAGCAGCACCGCGCCCGGGCACTCGGTGCAGGCCCCGCCTTGCTCACCAATGGCAAAGGCCTCCTTGGACTGTGTGCCGTGCTCGTTGTACCAGGGCGGCCGGCCGGCTGTGTAGATGGTGCGCTTGCTGGTGCGCAGCAGGGGCGGCTCCGACTTGCACTGGCTGGTGGTGCGCTTCCGGGGTGAGCGCCTGCTGCCCACGGGCGGGAGGAGCCTGTCCAAGGATTCCGCGCTACTGCTGCAGAGGAGAGGACATGCCTGCCTCTGCCCCAGGGCCAGCCACGCTGCCATCCCCCGGGGCCCATCCCTGACGCAGGCACTCGGGCACGGTCAAGTAGGGCGGCCTCCATGGGGTGGGGGGGTTGCGAAGGAAAGCCACCTGCAGCCCATCCCCGGGGCTCCTGGCCTGGGCAGGTCACTGTCCACACACGTTCAGAGGGACAGCAAATGGCATTAGGGGAAATGAGGGCCATCCGGGGCCTGGCCCCTCAGAGGACGAGGGGCACAGCAGGGCCAGTCAGGACCCCGTCGAGGACTGTGTTCCCTCCCACAACACTCTCCGGAAGACCCAACCCCTGCCACCCTGCGGGGCGCACAGGGAGAGGCTCCCGGACAGACTGCTGACAGGAGAGCCGAGCGGGCTGGTGGAGGCCATGGGTGCAGGAGAGCGAGCCTGGGCTGGGAGACCCACAGAGCAGCCCCCGCTTCCTGCTGTCCGCACCCTGCAGACCAAGAAGGCACAAGTGTCCAGGAGCCGCGACCAGAAAACCCCACCTGGCAGAGGCACTGGCAGCATCTGGGCCCTGCTCCTGTCTGCGCCGTGCCCCTCGTGCCCAGTGACAGGCTGACGTCCACGTCAGTTCACAAGGGGCACGGTGTGACCGCTGGCCCAACGCCCCAGTCCCAACAGGGACAGCTCTGGGGAGGCTGAGTCTGGCCGAGCAGCCCAGTGGGGAGCGAGCATCTGCCAGACGCCCGCTTCAGTGTGTGCTGACGGGCCTGGTCACGAAAGCCTGCTGCGGAGATGGCCGCGGCCGGTACACGCTGGAGACAAGGCACTCGTGGCCCCCGCACAAGAGAGGGGCTGGGCTGGCCCAAGCGTCCCCTCGCGGACCCGCTCCGCAGGCTTCAGAGCTCGCAGGCTCCCCTGCACACACCTTCGTGTGAGTGTGCGAGCAGGACGGGACACACAGAAAAAGACACCAACACGACCGCCACGCGACGAGGATTTGGGATCCTGCCACCTTGAATGTCTTATACGCACACACCAAGCCCAAGACACCCAGCAGTGCGAGGCCACAGGGGCCAGGATCCCGCCCACGAGGCGGTATCAGCCAGCCGAGGGCCATGGGAGGGTCTTCCTGCATCTGGAGGGGCCCGGGCATCTCCACCTCGGGAACGCTGATGTTCCCGCTGCACAGACCTCCCAGAGTCCCAGATGTTTCTGAGGGCGAGGAGGACGGTGTGCCTGTGTGTCGGGGGGTAGGAGGCAGTGGAAGGAATTTGTTAAAGCTGAAGGTGGGACAGGTCACAGCAGCAGCACCTGAGACACTGGAGGACAACTGCAACTAGTCCAGCAGTACGACACCAGGCATCACGGGACAGAGCCACGGGGCACCATCCCGGGGGACAGACGACACAGGGCTGTCGTGGCTCCGTGTTGTCAGGACAGCAACAGACGTAATTAGCCAGTCTGCGTGCTCGGGGTCACCTGTGCAGCTCTGGGGTCAGGCACTGCCACCCAGCAGTGTGGGGGGGACTCTGCCCAGCATGGAGCCGCCCCAGGGGTGCCCCCACATTCCTGCTCAGTTAAGCCGGAGATGAACGGAGATGAACACGGCAGGGGTGGGGGCAGGAGGGAACGCGCAGGGGCGTCTCCAGGCACTGGAAACACTCCTCTAACGACACAGGGCCTGCAGGCCTCAGGGCTCCCCAAGGCACTGTCCTCCCAACAGTGACAGGAGAGCTCCACGGTGGCCCTGGAGGTGATGGGGGGCAGAAAACGAAGTCCAGCCCCCCGCCCCCCTCCCCTGTGCCTTCTGGGAGAAAACTCTAATGTGGAAAACCTGGCTTGCAAAGGAGGAGGGCCTCAGCGCTCACAAGTCCCTCACAGTCGGGCCGGCCGGCCGCGCAGTCTGCCATGGGCCCTGCTCCCATCCCCTGCTTCTCACCCCAGGGCAGTGGCCAGGCCTCTCCAACAGGAAACTCTGAATCCTTATTTGTGAGTGTTGCTTGTCCTACTGAGGTAATGACGGCCACGACCACTGACGACTTCTGAGGCTCCTGCTGCCAACAGCCCGGGGCAGACACTGTCCCCGGGAAGAGAGCCCATGCGCCAGGAAGAGCACAAAGTAGGCCAGAGCGAGCTTTGCCAGAAACCCGCCCCATCTGGGGCGTGGGATGGGTCTGAAGGTATCAGGCTGGGTATGCAGCCAAGCCCAGCTCCACTGCCTTTTCCAAAGCCCCGTCTCTCTCTGGGAACGAGGGAGGAAGCCTCGCTGTCACCTCAGAGCAAGACTCACCCCATTTTCTCAGCGACACGACCTTGGAAATGGGAATGTCGCACCCAAGATCTCCTTTCCCAATCCACAGATGGACGACGTGCGTCTGGTTACGGTGACAAAAGGTAATTTCAAACCAAAGGATTACGAGCCACAACGGACAGAGACTCACCTGTAACAGACAGCCCCAAGCAAAATGAGCCCCTCCCTAGGGCCCAGCCCAGCCCTCCAGAGCGCCCACCCGGCCTGTCTCCTCCTGTCGATTAGACACGTGACGCACGGGCTGCGAGCGGCCAGGACACAGCAGAGGAAGCTTCGCCACAGCCACGGGAGACCACACACCTGCCACTCACCTGCCTTCTGCTCCAAGGGCCCAGCACCCCGAGATCCTGATGCCAGGGTAAGCTGGGGGGCTGCTCATGTCTGGGTCACGGGACAGCAGACAGCAGGGTGATGCCAGGTGTGTACAGGAACACCTCCACTGTGTCCCTCAGACCCACAGGAGCCCCCCAGGACAGCTCAGGGGCCACCTGAACTGCCCCCCCATGGGTGGGCAGGCGGCACGGCAGATGAGGAGCTAGGGTACGGGCTGCAACCGCCACCTCAGAGGCTGAGGCCACAGGCATTAAGAGGCTCACCCGGCTGGGGGCTGGGAGCTCTCCTGGTATTAATAGCACTGACCCTGCTGGAAAGAACACGGCCGTGGGGCCCTGGCCGAGCTCAGGCCAGCCCTGGGTGTGAACTGCCCCTCCTGTGCGCCTGCGGGTATACTGCTGGCCCAGGCTTGCTGGGGACCGCGGTGCACCTCCCCCAGAACACCGGGGAAAGACTCTCCAGACCCCAGGCCGGCTTGGGACTGTAGAAGCAACCCCCTCCCACCACCCTCAGCGCAACGGGGAAACCCTCTCCCAGCCAAGCCTTGCGGACTGTCAGGGCTGAGCCCTGCGTCACACCCTCGGTCCCAAGGTCCCTTCTAGAGGCAGAAACACACCTGAAACTCTAGCAGCCCTCCCCGCCCCTCCCCTCCAGGGGCAGGCTCCAGCCGGTCCCCAAGGCCACGTGGAGCTCAGCGTTCAGCCCGGGGACACAGCCAGTCTCCAGCCGGGCAGCCGGAGGCAGAATGGGTTCAGCTTGCGGATGTAGGCTTCAGCCAAAGCGTCTTTACTGCCGTGTGCAAAGGGGCCTGCGTCCCTAAGTCCCTGCCCTCCTTTCCAGCTTTCCTCCTAACAACACGGAGGCTCAGGGAAGAGAAAATTCCATGTGGGGTTCGCACACCCAAAGAGGGGCCACTCCTGGAAGCTGCCTCAGGAGCAGCCTCTCCCGGCCGCCCAGGTAAGAAGGGTGAGTCTGCCTCCCTGCCCAGAGGCGCTTGGAACAGGACAGAACTCTCCACCTTTGCCCACAAGACACAAGGGCAGGGGCCGGCCCCCACTTCGGAGGTGGGAGCTGTCCCGGGCAGGGCTGCAGAGTTGGCCACTGGTGCCCGACGCCCTGCCCGGCTTTAGGGAAGTTTGCTGGATGAGTGAAAACGAGGCCAGAGGGAGGAGGGAGGCGCTGATCCACTGGGCCCCGGCCCCGGGAACCCCAGACTAGCTCAGGGACAGAGAGTATCAGGGCTTTCTCAGGGCAGATGAAAAACTTGGGGGGCTGAAACAGGCTCCAGAGACTTGCACGGCCCCTCCCCCACCACCCTGGAAACCTGCCTGCAGAAACAGCTTGATCCTGCGTTTTGGATGGGTCCAGTCGGCCTCCCTCCACTCCCACAGCTTCAGACCCATCTCCACCTGGACTGCACCAGGAGACTGCCTGAGGGGCTCACCACCCTCACCAAAATGCTCACTTATCTACCAGCATGTCCAGTGCTAAGGTGTCCGAGGTCCCTGACCCTCTGGAGGAGCAAACAGACAAAACACAACGGCAAGGCGGACAGACCACACGGATGCAGCCGCCATCGTGTGCACGGAGAAGCTGGAACGATGGTCAGGGGCACGGGCACATACACCCGGATGCCGACCGGACCAGCTCTGGGGCCCGCGGGGGGCGCGCGGGGCCTGTGGGGCAGAGCTCAGGATACCAGCACTGGGGAATAACCGTGACGCCCAGAGGCAGTGCCAGGACAGAACCCCTCGGGCCTCTGGAGAAGCACGCCAGAGTCTACACGTGCCGCTGCTGGGCCCTGGCTCCCTTCCTCCGACCTCTGGCTCTCTGGGCACCATGAGGGGCACCTGTGCCCACTACCTGGCTCCGCACACGGGGCGGGGCCCCGACAGCAGCGGCCACCAGCCCATGTCTTCAGGGAGTGCTTCTCTCAAGAGCGCCTCCGGCCTTGCCCTCTCCCATCTCGGGCTAACTCAGACTCTCCGAGCCGCTCAGAACCGCTCAGGTCTGCGAGACTCAGCCACCCCGTGCCACCATCTAGTCGCTCTTCGCTGGGAAGGTGTGCACCTCCTCTGGGCGGCTCCTGGAGAACGGCCAGTGCAGCGACCCCTCGCCTCGGTCCTCTCCCTGCCGACACAGCGGCCCCCCGGCCCCCAGACCATCCTGGAGGAGCCCAGGCACGCAGCATTTCTGCCTCGGAGAGCTCCTCCAGTCCCCGGCGGCGGGAAGCCTGCGGTGGAACCACCGCTCCCTCGGAGCCCCCACCCTGTGGCTGTCGCCAAGCCTTCCTCCAGGGGCAGTTCCCACCCAGAAGGAAGGAGCCAGCCCTCAAGGCTGGGGGGCTGCCCCTGCTGCTGGGCCAGGCCGCGGCAGCACGGAGCACGAGCCCGCTTCCTCCGGGCCTCTTCCACCTCCCCGGCTGGGGTGACGGCCGGGGTGACGGGCGGCTCCGGCCCCGCTCCGCCCTCCCACTCCAGGCTCGTGCAGAGCCTCCACCGAGCCTCGAGGCGCCGCCCCACGGGGTGGGGGGCAGGCCGAAGGCACCCCGGATTCGCCAGCCCTGGGCTCGGGCCTGGGGCAGAGCGGAGGCAGGGCCTGTCCCCCTCGGAGCGTCAGGTCACGCTCCCGCCCCTCGGGACCGACACCGCAGGCGATCTCCGGAGAAGCCGCTCTATCCGCAGGCCTGACCGCGAGCGCGAGCCCCCGGGGCGCGGCGGTGCACGCTCGGTGTCACCGCCCGGCCGGGCCCCCGGGGACCCTCCCACCGCGGGCGCCCGCCGCCCTCGCGCGCCCAGACCCCCGCCGGCCGCGGCCGCCCCTGCCCGCCAGCCAGCGCCCCACGGCCCCACTGCGGCTCGCCGCGCCTCCCCCGCCCGCGGCGGACGCGAGGGGGCGTGCGCGGCCCCCAGCCCGAGCTCGGCGCGCCGCGCCTACCAGTCCTCGCACGCGGTCTCGCTCCTCTCCGGCGGCCGGTCAGGCCCGTCTCCGGCCGCAGCGGGCGCTGGAGGCAAGCGGGGCGCGTCGGCAGAGACCGGGGGCGCCGCCATGGAGCTCGGAGGCCTTGCCGCAGGCTGCCGGCCGCACTGGCCTTCGGGAGTCGTAGTTCAGGGCTTTGTGCTACGCATTGACTGGCGCGCCCCCCCCCCCAAACTACAAGTCCCACAAGGCCGTACGGCTCTGCATGCCGGGACTCGTAGTCCGGCCTCACGCGCCCGGGGCGGGCGTCCTCCGCAGGGAAGGATTCCCACCCCGAGCCTGACCACAAACTCAGCCGCACAAAGCCTCTGGAAAAAAATCAATAAACATTTATTTGATACAGTCATATTTAATACATACAGTTGATGGCCCACCCCCGCACCACTTGCGGCCGGGGAGGCGGGGACGAGGACCGGGGACAAGATGGTCACAAGGCGGGCAGGGCCCGAGCTCACCGTCGAAACATCTTGCAAATAAACTTTGTAGATAGAATATATATGTATATATATGGTTACAAGTGATAGCTGGAACCTCTCTTTCAAAATGCACTTATGTACGGAGAACTGTCATTAAAAAACCCAAACCAAGAAACCCAAAACACAGGGATGTGTGGCCGCCGGCCCAGAGGCGCTGGCCAGGCCCCCTGAACCCCAGGCCTCCAGGGCAAGCCACCTGGGGCCCACCGACCTGGACACGCCGGGACAGCCCTGCCCTCCATGGGCCAGGGTGCCCCTGTTCTCTCCCTTCTGATCCAGAGGGACAGGAGGGGGGCCACGGCTGGGCCACTGGTCACACCAGGGATACACCCTCATCTGCCTTTGCACAAGCAAACCAACGTGCACCCTGCTTCTGTGTTAAGTGTCAGCCCCTTCCTGTTCTCAGGGCAGGGTGGGGAGGGGGTGGGCTGGGCCAGAGGTAGATCTTCAGAAAGGGACCTGGCATTGTGCCCTGGGCTTCAGTCTTGGGCAGGGTCCATGCCTACCATGCCCCCCGGGGGGGGGGGGTCTGCCACTCCAGTCCCTCTCACTGAAGGTGTCAATCAAGGCCAGGTGGTTACCTGGGAATTCCCACCAGAGTGGGAGATGGGCAGATCCTGCTGAGCGCCCCGGGGCTCTGCCCCTTTTGGAGGCGGGCTCTGCTGACCAGCTCACCACTGCCACTCACCAGAGCATGGGAAGCAGGAAAGGAAGAAGGGAGAGGGGTCCGACCCAACAGCCACATTTGGCAGCAGCTCCCCACACCCACTTTAAAGACAAAGAAGGGGGTTAAAGTGCTAAACATCAAGTTACCCAGGACCCCACCTCCTCCCACGCGTCACAGCTGGGTTCCCCAAACGGACCATCTGTGGACCCAGGGGGTGACCTGGAAACTCACCCCCTAGCAAAAAACCAGCCCCCCACTCCCCAAGGGCCAAGTACCTGAGAGGCTGGGGTGGGTGGCTGTCCCCAGCATAGATGTTGAGGTCCAACCTCCTCCAGCCATTGGTGACAAGGACAAAATGCACCTAGGGCTCCTGGCAGCCCCTGCATCACCTCCCTGCCCCAGGCTGCCCCTGCAGTGGCTGCCTGACCCCACCTCTGCCCCCACCAGCTGTATACCATAGTGACACCCAGGAACACGAGAAAGAAAACCCTTCTGCCCACGCAGTTCAAAGCCCTGCCCAAGCTGCCCGCCCCTGACCTCGACACTGATCACACCTGCCAGCCCAGACCTCGCCCTTTAATCAAATCAAGGTGTGTGTGATTGGGGGTTAGTCCATGTCTCTACACCCCCTCCCTAGCACATCAGGCCAGGGTTGCCCAAGTCAGAGCCTTTGGGCCACAGGAAGAAGCTGGACACAGGCAGCACGATGGACCCCAAAGGCCCCCCGGAACCTGTCTCCCTACTGCAGAGCTAGGAGAGCTGAGCCCGACTGGGAGCTCCTCCTCTCCTGGGACTAGATGAGGACAGGAGCTGGGGGTCGGAGGGCAGAGAGGTGCCCAGTAAGCACTGCCTCCCTGAGCAGGGGAGAGACACCCCCTTAGCCCCCGGATCTACCGTCGGCACCAGGAAACCCTTAGCACCAAAATGTCAGATTGTTGTGTTTTTGTATAAAAAACAGAATTAAAAAAAGGTTGTTACTTGTCACAGCAACAAGACTGGCATCCACTACACCCAGGAGACACACGCACACGGGCAAATATCAAAATTCACATCGTCCAGGATTGGCCAGACCGAGCCCTCAGCCCACCCCCACCCCCCAGTGGGAAACAGCCTCTGTCTAAACCCAGTAGCTCTGAGTACCCTCCTCCTCCCTACAATGCCAAAGTTGGAAGGTGGGGCCCAGGGAGGAAACCAGAGGCAGTGTGGCCACCAACTCTGGGTGCCCTGAACTCCAGCCTGAACCCTGGTCAACCTGCAGACCTCACCATCCCCTTTGGGGCCCAACACAGAGCTGCAGAGCTGCCACCAACACAACGTGACCTTGGCCGAGCTCCTTCCCTGGCCTTCAGCTCTCACATCAAAAGACCACACAACCAGAAACAAAAGGGCAGGTAAAAAATGGGGAAAGGGACTCCCACGGGAGCCTAGCCACAAGCCAACCCAGACCAGCAGACAGAAGGCTGATTCCCACAGGGATTACTCCTCAAAGTTGGGCCCCACTTCCACACCCCACATGCCTGTGGGCCCCAGATTGACCTCAGAGCTTAGACTGGCCCATCCCTAACCCATTGGACTGCCCCAACCCTAACCCATTGGACTGCCCCAACCTAGACCAGTGGTGTTGGCGAAGCTGGAGATCGGAGGCAAAGCTGTGCCCCATGTGGCCCCCTCACCCGCTGCCCATGCAGTCCTGCAGGTCAGACCAGAACCCCCCCCTCACCCCCGGCAGGGAGCACCCATGAAGCCGGGATGGCAGAGAGTCCCCTCCATTAAGGGGGCCACCTCCACCCACCAAGACAGACAGGGGCCAGCAGCACCGGGGCCTGAGCACAGCAAAGGGTTGCGGGGGAAGGGGAGCTGGAGAGGTAGAGAACAGAAGCAGAGGGACCAAAGGCGGAAGGACAAGGGAGGCCACACTGGGGCCAGCTGTCAGGTCAGCACGGTAGCAGTCAGACTCAGGGTCTGTCCTGGGAGGTAGCTGGGGGTCCTGGGGTCCAGTGTCAGGTAGAGAGGTGAGACTGCTCAGGTGCCCTCATCAGCCCAGAACCATGGGTCTCTGACAACCCCCAAGGCCTGGGCCTGAGAAAGCAGATGGGCACAGAGCTCCCGTGGTGAAGGCCGTCTGCCTGCCCCGCGTTGACCCGTGGCCCTGGGCCTGAGCTGCGGACCCTCCTCCTGCCCCTCCAGGGCCCCCGGCTCCACCAGGCCCACGAACGTCCCTCCACGCTATCGCACTTCTGCTGCCCCTGCGGGTCATCCCCCGAGGGACCCCACCCATGTGTGCCCTACGCAGCCTGCACAGGGGAAGGGCCACCTTCAGGAAGGAGAGAGGGACTGGCTGCCTCCGCTGGACAGATGAATAGGCAGGGGTGGGGGGTGGAGAACTGGAGGGCAGGAGGTGCTGGAGCTGGCTACCCCCACCCTCGACAGAGTGGACTTGGCGTCCAGTGTGGGGACCAGGCCCCACCCGCCGGCCAGCCACCACGCTCACTTCTCAGGAGCCTTGCTGGCTCCCACCTTCCGGCCAGTGGAGCCCCGGGCCCCCTTGTCTCTGCCTCCTGGGGGCCAGTCATCCCGACGGGGGGGCATCTTGGGTGCGGGCTCCTCGGGGGTCCGCTCCTTGGGCTTTCGGCCTCGCTTCTTCCCGCCCGCCAGACTCTTCTTCTCCTCCTTCTTGGGCGCCAGGGAGTCCTGGCTCCTGTGTTTGGGAAGTGGGTCTGCCGAAGTACGAAACCAGTTCTGGAAAGAGAAACAGCACAAATGCAGACCCTGTGACAGGAGGGTGCCCAGCCCTGGGCAGGGCAGGCCGCGGCGCTAGGGTGGCTGGGCGGCACAGCTCCCGCCCAAAGGGGCACCTCCTGCCCCGGCTGCTGGGGGAGGGGCACCCAAACATCTCTGCTCCTCCGGGGAAGCAGGGAGCTCCTCTCAACCCGGGCTGCCACCGCCGCCCCTCCCCCAGCCTGGCCCAGGCCCTGCAGGCACAGCAGGGCTTCGGCCCATCCCACCTCCGCGTGGGTCTTGAGGATGTGGTACTTGACGCCACTCTCAGAGCTGAACTCCTTCGGACACAGCAGACAGCAATACTTCCCCACCAGGTGGTCTCCCTGCAAGGCAAGGACAGGCCGGCCCCCAGAGATTGGACCCCGCCCCCATCCCTGAAGACCAGAAGCTCCAGATGGCTTCAGGGACCCTGGAGTTGCCCCCACTAAGGGAAGGGAAGGGATGTAGAGAGTATGGGAAGAGGCAGGTGCCCCAGGGAAGGGTTGCAGCCTTTGCCTGAGGGTCCCTCACCTCAAGCCCAGGTCAAGGTGCCCATTACACCTTGGAGTAGGTGTAGACATGGAGCCCCTGTGGGCAGAACAACTGGGAGTGGACTGACTCACGGACAGGGCTGGAGAACCCTGGGCCAGGTTGGCCACCAGGCACTGGCCAGTCCCTGGGCTCCCGGAGGAGGAGGAGGAGGAGGCTGCCCCGTGGGGGCAGGGTCACACTCACAAGGTGTGCGGACCTCTAGGGGAGTGCCGAACACCACGTCACCCTGAGAAAGGGCCTGGAAACCGACCTTGCTGCAGCTGGCGAGATGGGCCTTAAGTCCGGACACACTGGAGTAGATGGCTTCGCAGCACTGGGG